TATTATTATTATTATTATTATTATTATTATTATTATTATTATTATATTATTATTATATTATTATTATTATTATTATTATTATTATTATTATTATTATTATTATTATTATTATTATTATTATTATTATTATTATTATTATTATTATTATTATTATTATTATTATTATTATCATTATTCTTATTATCATTATTATCATTATTATCATTCTAAATTTGATTACTACTAAATTGTGTAATTTCAAGGAAAAAGAAAAAATGGTAAATATGCATATACGATAAAAAGGGATAATCATAAGGTTGATGCTTATCTATCAGCTGATAATGTTAATGATGAGGATGAATTTTCGCAATCATTATTTGGTAGACGATCGGAGAAATATCACTGCACTGGTAACGTTGATTTTTTGGCTACTTTTTTTTCGTCCTTTAAAGATAAGATGCAATGAATTTGATAATTTGTTAAATGATAAAATATGAGAGAGTGATAAATAATGATAATTACATTAATATTATTTTTACTTAATTGTTATAATTTTACAATTAATGAAAATTTAATTTGACAAAATTGAAAAAATATTAAATGTAATCATTTATTTATAGCTGAAACTCCTGGTATTTCACAATGTTATGATGCACAAGGACGTAGTGTAGGTAAAGTTGTAGCTGATAAATCAGGTAATACAATCATTTATAATGATAAGGATGTACCTATTGCAACAGGAAGTGTACAAAAAATTAACGATCATTCTTATCAGGTATATACTTTAATCAATTATTCTCTTTTACATAATTTAATTAATAATTAATAATATATAATACTTAATGATTTTAGTAAATTTGAATTTTTAAATTTTTATTAAATTGGAATAAATTTTCCAATAAACTAAATGAAATAATTTTTAGGCAGTAATTAGCAAGAATTTATTTATTGCAAAATTGAAAGATGCTCGAACATCAACATGTTGCCGTGAAATTACCGGTAAAAATTGCACAGATCCAATTAAATTAGCAAATCCATCATTTAGTCATCCATCGGAACGTGATGGTGATACGTTAAAATTGACGTGGCCTGATTGCGTTGATATGTCCATTGATGTAACATTGCCACCAAGTAAGTATGTGCTAAAAATTTTTTATAATTTAATATTTTAAATTTAATAATTTTATATTTTAAATTTAATAAGTTTTGGCATACAAACTGGTATTTTTTCTTTTCATTTATTTATTGCTTTATTTTTGTTTTTAGTTATTATATAAATTAATAAATTTAAATAATGTAAAAATTAATTTAAAATTACTTGAAATAATCAAATTGTTTTCATCTTTTTTTTTTTATAAATAATTATTGTTATCACAAAATTTTTATCAAATTTTCCTAAAATGTATTTTTATTATTCGTTTTTTTAAAAAGAAAATTTTGCAAAATTTAAAATTTTCATTTATTTAATTTTTAGGAGTTCATATTAATCGTCTTGCAATGAAACTTGACGTAATGATTCAACCAATTGGAAAATTACGTTGTATGGATGTTGCAACATGTGGCCGTGAATGTTATTACTGTGATTGGTGTAAAAATACAAGGTTATCATATATTATCAAGGTTATCAAAATACGTGATTAAAATATATGACTAGCAAAATATTGATAAGTGATTAATAACTTTATATTTTGATTTGTGTAAAAATACAAGGTTATCATGCATTAT